TGAAACCCCGTCTCTACCAAAAATACAAAAAACTATCCGGGCGAGGTGGCGGGCGCCTGTAGTCCCAGCTACTCGGGAGGCTGAGGCAGGAGAATGGCGTAAACCCGGGAGGTGGAGCTTGCAGTGAGCAGAGATCCGGCCACCGCACTCCAGCCTGGGTGACAGAGCAAGACTCCGTCTCAAAAAATAATAATAATAAATAAAATTAAATAATAAAAAATTTTAAAAGCCTTAGAAAATGATGTTTCCTGGGATGCTCAATAGAGCACATCTTTTAGCCACTGTCTTTAGCACCTCTGAAAACAGGCACTTGTCTCTATGGAGACCATGAAATCCACAAACAGGACAGGACACGAACAAGTACTAAAAGGGGAGTGGGAAGCATTCCCGGAAGGTTCCAGAGCAGGGGGTGCCTGCTGGACGGAGGATGTCAGAGCCCACAGAGGGACTGGGAATGGGTAGCATGTCTCTGGTGGGGTGACCAAAAACTTTCACCAGCTCCCCAGCTTTCCAGAGGAAGCAGCCCATCCTTTGGGACCCCACTAAGTCCACTGGTAACCAAGAGCATGGCTTATCTGTGAGTCATCTGATGAAACGACCAGCTTGTATTTATACCCACACAGGAGGACGCCCGCCAGGCTCTGTCGTCGCTGGTACATCTGAGAAGGAACACCTCCTGCTCTTTCTCTGGAGGGAGCTGGGCAACGATACTACTAAACAGATGCCAAAGCACCGAGCCCTCGCCTGCCCCACCTCCACCCTTCAGCCCTGGTGCTGGTCTTACTGCTCACCAACTTTTGCTGCTTCTATTTCTTCCTTCCCTAATTCCTAAGGCCAAAATCCAAGTTCATTCAACAAATCTTTATTACTTGGCCTCTTACATGGATGGCCTCATTCCAGGTGCTATGGGGGAGATAAGAACAGAAATCCTGTACCCATATGCCTAGGTTCAAATCCCAGCTCTACCATTTAAAAGCTGTGGGCCACTGGGCACATTAGCCCCTGAGTCTGCTTTGCTGTCTCTAAAATGATAATATCTACCTCACTGGCTTCAACCCGGGAGGCGGAGGTTGCAGTGAGCCGAGATCGCACCACTGCACTCCAGCCTAGCTGACAAGAGCAAGATTCCGTCAAAGAAAGAAAGTGAGAAAAAGAGAGAAAGAGAGAGAAAGAAGGAAGGAAGGAAGGAAGGAAGGAAGGAAGGAAGGAAGGAAGGAAAGAAAGAAAGAAGGAAAGAAAGAAAGAAAGAAAGAAAGAAAGAAAGAAAGAAAGAAAGAAAGAAAGAAAGAAAGAAAGAAAGAGAGAGAAAGAGGCCAAAGGAAAAAGAGAAATTAGTTATGGAGGCAGAAAAGGGCAGTCAGTGGGGTCAGAGCCAAGGTAAGAAGCCAAAGCAGGGATGGCGCTCTACTGCATTTGGAAAATAAGCCTGTGACATAAAAGTATGCATGCATTTTTCTGAGGGCAAGAACCTGTAGGTTACATTCTAAGGACCATACAAATCCGTTTTCCACTAAGAAACCTCTCCATATAAATTATATTGAGGTCATCGTTAAAGAGGGTTTTTTTCTGGCCAGGCGCGGTGGCTCACGCCTGTAATCCCAGCACTGTGGGAGGCCAAGACGGGTGGATCACGAGGTCAGGAGATCGAGACCATCCTGGCTAACACGGTGAAACCCCGTCTCTACCAAAAATACAAAAAATTAGCCGGGCGAGGTGGCGGGCGCCTGTAGTCCCAGCTACTCGGGAGGCTGAGGCAGGAGAATGGTGTGAACCCGGGAGGCGGAGCTTGCAGTGAGCTGAGATCCAGTCACTGCACTCCAGCCTGGGGGACTGAGTGAGACTCCGGAAAAAAAAAAAAAAAAAAGACTTTTTTTCTGAGCTGACACACTTCTACAAAAGTGCTTTCATTTCTTCACCAAGTCTCTGCTATTATCTGACACCTGTCCGTCCCACCTTGGATAGTACAAAAGTGACAAGAGGATGTTAAAAGTTTCAAAGGGGCTGTTGGAAAATATGAGCTGGGAAACATGCAGAGCTCAATATGAACTCGGGTCAGTATTAAAATTACAAGTAGGTCACAGAACCCCAACCGCGCGTATTTGGATCCAGCCCTTGGTGAGTGGACCCTGGACTGTACCTCCCAATCCCATCTTTACCTGCAGTTGTCCGGCCAACATGGCCCCTTCCCGCCTGTCCTTTCCTAACCACCTCCGCTCTCTTTAGTGGAGACGCCGAGCTGGCAGCCATGCTGGCTGCACACTGCCATTTTCCACAGGTTCTCAAGTGCCTGGGCTGCCAAGAGGGTTAGGTGTTTACATTTATTTTTAATAGAAATGGGGTCTCACCCGGGGCATCTCTTTTCTTCATACTGCAATGTTGCTGGATACATGATCAGACACCAGAAGGTTGGGCATTCTTGCAATACCTTAACAGTACTCAAATCTGCAGCATGGTACTAAGGAAGTTAAAGTTTGAATGTAACCACTTTATTTTAAAGTTTTTTTTTTTTTTTTTTTTTTTTTTTTTTGAGACAGAGTCTCGCGCTGTTGCCCAGGCTGGAGTGCAGTGGCGCGATCTTGGATCACTGCAAGCTCTGCCTTCCGGGTTCACGCCATTCTCCTGCCTCAGCCTCCCGAGTAGCTGGGACTACAGGCGCCCGCCACCACGCCCGGCTTTTTTTGTATTTTGTTTAGTAAAGACGGGTTTTCACCATGTTAGCCAAGATGATCTGATCTCCTGACCTCGTGATCCGCCCACCTCGGCCTCCCAAAGTGCTAGGATTACAGACGTGAGCCACCGCGCCCGGTCAGGTTTTTTTCTTTAAATGAAATCGGGTTGAAATGAACATGATTTTGTTGACCATGTTTGTGAATTATAGATGCAAGATGCATTGGTAGACTCGTGTGATGGTGTTTTGTGATACTTAAGTTTTACATATCCCCATCTCTGTATGTATCTGCATAGACAAAGAAAAAACAAACTCCTGCTTTGCTTTTATTGAAGGGTTTCCAGGACTGCGGGTCCGCTCCTGAGCTCTAAGTATGTGTATCCTTTGCTTGTATTTTGTATTTAAAAAATAAAATAACCCTTTATTGTTGACTATGTTGGCATTGTCCCCTTTATTTTTTCTCTTTTTGGGACATATGAAGCAAGTTATTCTTTTTCTGTATCTTTTTTTCTTTTGTAAACTTTTTGTTTTGTTTAAAAATGACTTTATAAAAGGGCTTTTATAACATGCCCCCCTCACAAAAAAAAAGAAATGGGGTCTCATTAGGTTGCCCAGGCTAGCTTTGAACTCCTAGACTCAAGCAATCCTCCCACTCTGGCCTCCCAAAGCGCTGAGATTACGGGCGTGAGCCACCATGGCAAGCTGGATGTTAAAAAAAAAAAAAAAAAAAAAAAAGTCTCTGAAGCAGGAGTTGAAGGAAAAAGGAATTAATTAATTAGGGAAAAAAAGCTGAAAGAAAATCAACCAGTATTAATAGTAATTATTTCTGAGTGGTGGGATCACGAGTCCTGTATTTCCTTCTATGCAATTAATATTTTCTAAAATATACATGCATTGCTTTAACACAAGAAAAATATTTGTTGTTTTATCAAGAGGCCTAGAGGTGGCAAACAATGTCTGGACCCCTACACCACGGCAGGAGGAATGCAGAGGCGGGGCGGCGGGGGGTGACGTGACAGGCTGCTAGGCACTGTGCCCACTGTCTGTCCTGTAGCTTCCTACCAGCCCAAAACACTGACGTTTCCAGAGGCAGCAAGGCTAAAGGGCCAGACATTTTTCTGGTTAACACTCCACGTATTCAGCTCCCAAAGGTGCCAGGCCAGGGCGGTGAGGCAGACTTTGGTCAGGCCACGGCTGGGCTGCCTGACTAGGCCAGAGAGTAAATCAGTAGAATTCCCACAGGCCCCATCTGTGGGTGCCAGGTCAAAGTCCATCAGCGCCACGGCTTTTCCGTGCTGGGAGGGAGGAAAGCAGATGACGGCACAGGGAGGTGCCCTACTCAGTTCATGTCATGACTTTCTCTTTCTGACAGTTCCTTGGGCTGCTTTCAGTGGATGGCAGAGGATACCCGAGTGCCATTCTAGATTTAGAAAGAAACTGAACGTCCAGAGTGTGAAATGGCCTGTTGTCATCTCCCCTCCGTGGCAGTGGTGGTTGCCAGGCTGGTTTGCGTTTGCCCAAAAGTAACAGTAAAGAGCTCTGACCACTACTGTTCACCCTAAACTTGGGGCTGCTGTGCTTGTAGGCTTTGGAAAGAATGGAGGGGTTTCCACACATTAAAAAGGAAAAGGGCACCAGGTCTGTGCTCTGTGACCCCATCACGCAATGGAATGACACACAGGTATGAAGAATGAGGCTGCTCCACATATGCTGGGACTGAGAAAGGTTTTTGTGTTTTGTTTTGTTTCTGAGACCAAGTTTCACTCTTTGTTGCCCAGGCTGGAGTGCGCTCACTGCAATCCCTGCCTCCTGGGCTCAAGCGATTCTCCTGCCTCAGCCTCCTAAATAACTGGGATTACAGGTGCCCACCACCGTGCCTGATTTTTTTGTATTTTTAGTAGAGACGGGGTTTCACCATGTTGGCCATGCTGATCTTGAACTCCTGACCTCAGGTGATCCACCCACCTCGGCCTCCCAAAGTGCTGGGATTACAGGTGTGAGCCACTGCGCCCAGCCGAGAGAGTTAAAAAAAATGTCGCACAGTGTGTGTAATGTATGTGACTACTATCATTAGTGTATGAGAAAGAAAAGCTTACTATCAGAGACTGTATCTGGAGGGATAAACAGACTGGCAGGGGTTGCCTCTGGGCACGAAATGGGAATAGACAGTGGGAGTAGAAAGAGATTTTATTAGCTGGGTGTGGCAGCGCACACCTGTAGGCCCAGCTACTCCAGAGGCTGAGGGGGAGAACTGCTCCAGCCCAGGAGTTTGGGTCCAGCCTGGGAAACATAGCAACACTGAAAAAAAAGACTTCATTTTCCATGAATACCCTTTTGTAACTTACTTTTGAATTCCGTATTTTTTAATGGTCTGTGGTCTACATACCCTCATGTGCAAACACACACATGCAGAAGAACAGGGATCACCTGCATGAAGCTATGAGCTCTTTCCTCATCCCTTCTAGCCCCTTTCTAGAGGCAAAGCCTCCGCCCCCCACCCCCAGGCACTATCTGTCCTGCTTGCACCCACCTCCACCCCAGGCTGGCCAACAGTAGCCTGTTTCCTCTCCATTCCACCCCTCTCCCAAGCCTCCCATCCAACCACAGGAGAGGATTACTGGTTCCTGCTTTCCTTAGCACCCCTAAATGTAAAGGTATCTGTTCTATGTTGCATGCTTCAGAACCCTGCAGAAACAATCAACACGTCCACTGTTAATACACAGATTACCCATCTTGGATGCATCTGCAACGAGCACTCGCCAACTTCAAAGTGGCAACAAAGAAGTTCACAATTACAAGACCATGGGTTCACTATCACAGAAGGGACATGAAACAGGGCCTAGGACACGGGGGGGGGTGGGGGGGCACGGAAAGAATTCTTTGAGTAAGCCTGGAAGGTGGCGGGGCTCACCAGGCCGAGAGCAGGTGCTAGGCCTTCAGCAGGAACAGTGTGAGCCAAGGCACAGAGGCCCAAGGGGAGCGTGCTGTAGCTGTGATGGTGGGCAGCTGGAAGGCCGTGCGTATAATGAACTGGGGCCCCACATCCAAGGGGAGGTGTTAGCCAAAACCAGCACACAGAGGCCTTCAATTCCATGAAGAATTTAGATGTTACCCTGTGAGCCATGGGAAGCCACTGAAGCGGTTTATCTAGGGTAGTAAGTGGGCCCAGATTTTCATTTTAAGAAATCATTCTATAGAAGGAATCTCAAACCTCACCTGACTGCCCTTCTCCCCCCAGGGTTCTAAGCTCTACTTAAAAGCCCATATAAAAAAGCATAGATTTGCTTCCTACAGACTTGAACCGTGCCCTAGGGATTTAATTCTAAGGGGCCTGTGAAGTTTACCTACTTTACCCATTTTTCTTTTTTCTTTTTTTTTTTTTTGAGACGGAGTCTCGCTGTCGCCCAGGCTGGAGTGCAGTGGCCGGATCTCAGCTCACTGCAAGCTCCGCCTCCCGGGTTCACGCCATTCTCCGGCCTCAGCCTCCCGTGTAGCTGGGACTACAGGCGCCCGCCACCTCGCCTGGCTAATTTTTTGTATTTTTAGTAGAGACGGGGTTTCACCGTGTTAGCCAGGATGGTCTCGATCTCCTGACCTCGTGATCCGCCCGTCTCGGCCTCCCAAAGTGCTAGGATTACAGGCTTGAGCCACCGCGCCCGGCCTACTTTACCCATTTTTCTAAAGAAAAGTTGTTGACTGGCAACCCCCAAAAATGTACCAAGGAAAAGCTAGCAAGCACCTTCTGTATTTTTGGCATCAGCACCAACCAACGACACGGTGCAGGGCAGCCTGCTTGACCTCTGGGTACAGAAAGGCCAGCCCCTGCCAAAAGCCCTTCTTCACCCTGACAGCACAGCAGTACTCTATGCTTCCCTGCACAGAAACTCGTAAGATGCTTGTGGCTGGTAAGAAAACAACACCGAAACATTTCAGCTCCTCATACGCTAAGGCCTCGGTGCCACCTCCCTAAGGTTTTATTGTTCACTGCCTTCAAAACCCATGTCTCTCCTCTGCCCCGCCCCCACATCCCTTCCAGCGCACCTGATTACTCAGTTCCATTTTCAGCTCAGCAGTCTCTGAGGCTGGCCTACTTTTCAAGGCCACACGAGCAGAAAAATTTGGGCATTACACAAACAACAGAACATAACTAGGACAATGGGACACAGAAAGGGAAGAACTTGCAATGGTGTGTACCAAGGAGGCAAGGATACAAGCAGAACCTGGTGAAAGAGCCAATGGACAATTTGCAGGGCGGGAGGGAGGGGCTGACGGGGAAAGAGTGGAAAGAGGCACTGAGCGTAACACAGCAAGGCTTGGCCAGGACAACCTGGAAAATTGAGCTGAAGACCAAGAGGCACCAGGCAAGATCACTTTACCCAGTGATAAGAGCTGTAAGGCTCACTTGGTTTTCAGTAGTCAACCGGGTGGTTCTGAAAACCACGCCCCAGTCTGAACGGTAAGAAGGCTCCCAGAGCTTCAAGCGCGTGGCAAGACCATGGGAGCAGCATCTCGATACAGAATTAGATCAGCTCTGGGGAGCACAGCGCAGGCAAGAAGAGGCCCTCTCAGATCGCACTCTAGCTAATTAAGGTACTGTCCTGTGCGGCATGTTTGTTTGTTTTGAGAGAGTGCGGTAGCACAATCTCGGCTCACTGCAACCTTTGCCTCCCTGGCTCAAGTGATTCTCGTGCCTCAGCCTCCTGAGTAGCTGGGACTAAAGGCATGCACCACACCTGGCTAATTTTTGTATTTTTAGTAGAGGCAGGGTTTCACCATGTTGGCCAGGCCGGTTTTGAACTCCTGGCCTCAAGTGATCCACCCGCCTCACCCTCCCAAACTGCTGGGATTACAGGCATGAGTCACCATGCCCAGCAAAGAAGTATGTTTCTCAAGAAGTGAAAGGCCGAGGGTCACTCCACCAGGCTTTTTCTGAACTTCCAGCTCCGTTAACATCCTGACCTGAAGAACCAACCCCTTGCCTTTGCTGAGAAGATGGAAAGTTTCATGGACACAGTCCCTGTCCCCAAACCCCTCCTTTTCAAGGGGCACTGTTCTGGAGGTGCTGTGTCTGCTGGTCCCGCTTTGTTTCCACATCATCTACCACGACCAGCCAAAGTGGGGTGCAAAGGAGAGGGCACCCAGGCAGCAAGACACAGTGCACTCTGCGAGATTAGGCTGATCCCATTTCCCCAGGGGCGCCTGTGGATGTGCGCTCTGTCGCTCTGCTTCTGTTGCCACAGACGTGAGGAGCAGAGAGGCTGTGGTGCACAGGGACCCTCAGTCACGGATGCGGAGCTGGTAGAGGCGAGAAGATGCAGCCTTCCGGATCCAGCGGAAGAGCTGGGCCAGCTTGTAGAGGAAGGGCAGGGAGGAAGGGGAAGCTGCAGGGCAGAGGGAAACTACTGTGAACGTCCCGCCCCTCTCGCCTGTCACTCTGCCATCTCCCAGCCTGGGAGACCCCACCACCCATTACACGTAGTTGTTTTGTTTTTTTAGAGGCAGGGCCTCGCTCTGCTGCCTAGGCTGGAGTACAGTACAGTCCGTGTTCGGCACACTGCAGTCTGAATCTCCTGGGCTCAAGTGATCCTCCCGCCTCAGCCTGCAGGTGCAGTTTCTCCTCCCCTCAGCATCATCGCTCCAATGAGTCGGGCCTGCTGCTGAGGGTCAGGGCCACTGGGCCAGGCCCTTCTGAAGCAGCCTTGGAAAGAGCAGGCTCAAATGTCCTCATGCCATCCCCACTAGGAGACCAGGGTTTACGAGACTAAAGGGCTTACAGGAACCCTAAAGAATCACAAAGAATTTCTAAATCTGTATCAGTCAGGAGGTGGCCAGGGATGAACGCTGATGATACTAAGCATTCCGAGAGCTAACTCGTGACTTCTTTGTAAAGCAAACAGAGCCATCCACGGGGGATCTCTGCTCAGCGTTCAGCAGACAGGTTAGAAAGACACCTCTGAGCTATGTGAAGGAAACCTCACTGGCTGGGCATGGTGGCTCATGCCTATAATCCCAGAACTGTGGGAGGCTGAGGTGGGAGGATCACTTAAGGCCAAAAGTTGGAGACCAGTCTGGCAAACATGGCGAAACTCCGTCTCAACTAAAAATACAAAATGTAGCCAGGCATGGAGGTATGTGCCTGTAATCCCAGCTACTTGGGAGACTGAGGCAGGAGAATCGCTTGAACCCAGGAGGTGGAGGTTGCAGTGCACCACTGCAACCTGGGCAACATTCTAGCCTGGGCAACAGAACAAGACTCTGTCTCAGAAATAAAAATAAAAAATTAGGCCGGGCGTGGTGGCTCATGCCTGCAATCCCAGCACTTTGGGAGGCTGAGGCGGGCGGATCACGAGGTCAGGAGTTTGAGACCATCCTGGCTAACACGGTGAAACCCCGTTTGTACTAAAAGTACAAAAAATTAGCCGGGCATGGTGGCGGGCGCCTGTAGTCCCAGCTACTCGGGAGGCTGAGGCAGGAGAATGGCGTGAAGCCAGGAGGCGGAGCTTGCAGTAAGCCGAGATCACGCCATTGCACTCCAGCCTGGGCAACAAAGCAAGACTCTGTCTCTAAAAAAAAAAACAAAAAAAATTAGCAGGGCGTGGCGGCAGGCATCTGTAGTCCCAGTTACTTGGGAGGCAGAGGAGAGAAGATTGCTTGAGCCTAGGAAGCAGAGGTTGCAATGAGCCAAGATCACGCTGGTGCACTCCAGCCTGGGCAACAGAGAAAGACCCTGTCTCAAAAAAATTAATTAATTAATTAATTAAATTAAAATTAAAATTAATAAATAAATATTTTTTTAAAAAAAAAGCTCACTGAATAAGAGAAAGAGAAATGGGGAAACAGGGAGAATCTAAAGACTAAGTTAATAAATGGCAGTTCTCAAAACAGACGAACCATTTGAAGGGTTTCTGATTTCCTCTTAAATTTTGAAACTTAATCATATTCTAAGTCTAAATTCATGAGAAGAGTAGATGCCGGGCTCGGTGGCTCAAGCCTGTAATCCCAGCACTTTGGGAGGCCGAGACGGGCAGATCACAAGGTCAGGAGATCGAGACCATCCTGGCTAACATGGTGAAACCCCGTCACTACTAAAAAATACATAAAACTAGCCGGGAGTGGTGGCAGGTGCCTGTAGTTCCAGCTACTTGGGAGGCTGAGGCAGGAGAATGGCGTAAACCCAGGAGGCGGAGCTTGCAGTGAGCTGAGATCCGGCCACTGCACTCCAGCCTGGGCGACAGAGCAAGACTCCGCCTCAAAAAAAAAAAAAAAAAAAAAAGAGAAGAGTAGAGATTAGAACATAACTCACATTGAGTAACACAAAAAAACCTAAAAGAGCGAGTGCCTAAGTTTGGCCTCATGCACCTGAGGGGTCAATCCTCAGGAAATCACCAGGGTTGTTCCCAAATATCACTTAGGGAGCTCATTCCTTCTTCACAGCCAGGCAGAAAACAGAACAACCACCCAAATGTTCAAAAACATGGGTTGTTAAATTACTTAGGGGCATTCCTGGGAACTGGAATATTTAGCCATTTAAGGCCATGCTTGAAAGCATATGTATGACATGTAACTGCCTACAATCTCTATATCCACAGAAACAGACTGCAAGCATAGCAGAGTAGCAGATTTCTGTGCCTTTCTTTATACTTTTCTCTATTTTCCACATTGTTTTTTCTTTTTTGAGACAGTTTCGCCCTGTCACCTAGGCTGGAGGGCAACGGCGCAATCTTAGCTCACTGCAACCTCCGCCTCCCAGGTTCAAGCAATGCTCCCTGCCTCAGCCTCCCTAGTTGCTGGGATTACAGGCACACACTACCACACCCAGCTAATTTTTGTATTTTTAGTAGAGAGGGGGTTTCACCATGTTGGCCAGGCTGGTCTCAAACTCCTGACCTCAGGTGATCCACCCGCCTCGGCCTCCCAAAGTGCTGGGATTATAGGCATGAGCCACCATGTCCAGCCTATTTTCCACATTTTCTAAAAGGTATGAGTTTTTCATTTACAACTTGTTTTGAATTAACACTTCATTAGACATTAATACTTGAATTAACACTTTTGTAGACATTCTGATGAGGGGAAGTTTATTTATTTTTTTTTTTTGAGACAGAGTCTTGCTCTGTCACCCAGGCTGGAGTGCAGCAGCGGAATCTTGGCTCACTGCAATCTCTGCCTCCTGGGTTCAAGCTACTCTCCTGCCTCAACCTCCCAAGTAGCTGGGACTACAGGCACGTGCCACTACGCCTGGCTAATTTTTTTTGTACCTTTAGTAGAGACGGGATTTTATAATGTTGGCCACACTGGTCTCTATCTCCTGACCTTGTGATCTGCCTGCCTCGGCCTCCCAAAGAGCTGGGATTACAGGCGTGAGCCACCGCGCCTGGCCGAGGGGAAGTTTTTTTAAATTCTGAGGTTCCGGTCAGAGGTCAGCCCTAGAAAAAGTGGAGGGCTATGACTCAGTCCATGTTCAGGAGTCAGCAGAGCCAAGTGGACTTTCTCCCGGCTGCTCTCACAGACTCCAGGACTGGCCTCTCCTTCTGGGTGGGGCTGACTTGTGCCCCAGTCTAGCAATTCCTCCTTGTGGAACAGACTCAGGGGGAAATGTCATAGGAGAGGCCCCCATTCCCAGTAGGACTCTGACAGGAGTACTGACAAACACCCACTCCCACAGGCCCAGCCCTGACAACAACCCCTTCCCAGGAAGGAGGGGGGAAGAGTCTCCACCACTTACCTGGATCAAACCTCACCACCAGGAGACAGAGGATCAAGGCAGCCAGAAGGCTCTTTTTGAAGGGCAGAGAAAAGAAGTGGCTCACCGCAGAGTCCCAAAGCTGGCGAACCAACATCGGTAGTGACAGGAACTTGTGGGAGACAGAGCCTGGCCAGGGAGACAGAGCACAGCTTCAGGGGAGTCACGGGAATCAGCTTCCCTGACCCCAACCTCTGCGCTTGCTTCTAAGAGCTGAGCAGGCTGGGCGCGGTGGCTCACGCCTGTAATCCCAACACTCTGGGAGGCGAGACCGAGGCGGGCGGATCAGCAGAGGTCAGGAGTTCAAGACCAGCCTAGCTAACATGGTGAAACCCCGTTTCTACTAAAAATTCAAAAAATTAGCCGGGCATGGCCACGTGCGCCTGTAGTCCCAGCTACTTGGGAGGCTGAGGCACAAGAATCACTTGAACCTGGGAGGTGGAGGCTGCAGTAAGCAGTAAGATCGTGCCATTGCACTCCAACTTGGGCAACAAGAGTGAAACTTGTCTCAAAAAAAAAGGCCGGCGTGGTGGCTCACGCCAGTAATCCCAGCACTTTTGGGAAGCCAAGGCGGGTGGGTCACGAGGTCAGATCATGAGGTCAGGAGATCGAGACCATCCTGGCTAACACAGTGAAACCCAGTCTACTAAAAATACAAAAAATTAGCCAGGCGCGGTGGCAGGCACCTGTAGTCCCAGCTACTCGGGAAGCTGAGGCAGGAGAAGCACTTGAACTGGGAGGCGGAGGTTGCAGTGAGCACAGTGAGCCGAGATCGCGCTACTGCACTCCAGCCTGGGCGACAGAGCGAGACTCCGTCTCAAAAAGAAAGAGATGGTGACTTTCTGTCCATGGAAGTATTCACAGCTAGACTAGATCATTACTCAAGGAGAAGGGCAGAAAAGATTCGGGGACCAGGGAAAGGGTCTGCAAATTAGTTTCTTATATTCCTCTGGCTATCCCAGCAGATCTCAGCTGCATCTGTATTGGGGCCAGCATTTAAAGGAGGAAGGACATCCCACCCAGACCATGGTGGAAGCAAGAGACCTTGTCAGAGGACTCCAGCGGAAAGATGACTTTCAAAAGACAAGTCAAGGTCCCAAGACCCAGCAACACCTTCCCATGTGGAGATTCTCCTTCCACTGCCAACTTCAGAGGGTCTGGGCTTCACTTTGTTAAGCAACTCAACAGGCCTCCTATTCTGTGATTCAAGAATTATTTATACAAAGAACTGCTCCTAAGCTCCCAGGAGTTTCACGATGGACCCTGAGGTACAGTGCAAGGCCACAAGTCCACTTTACAGAGGCCACAAAGGGATAATGTCCTACCTTCCTCGTTTGGCTTCTGGGCCTCCTCAGAGCCTGAGTGTTCCTGTTGCTGCTGCTGCCTCGCTGTGTGAATGGCCTGAAGTACATCCAGTCGCCGCTCCTCACCGAAAGCTGCAGAGCCCACCACTAGCTCCTCAGCCTCCGACAAGCAGCCCAGAGGCAGCAGCACCCGCTGCACGTGAAATTCTGCCAAGGCTCCATATTCTGGAAGGTCTTGGTTGGCTGGGTCTTGGAGCCAGGCACCCACCACATCCAGCACAGCTCTAGGCTCTTGCATTTTGCTGTATAAAAGAATGCTGCAGTCCCCAAAAACCCGATCCCAACAAAATTAGAGTCAGTGCTCAATGACTGGTTCATTTCTCATGACCACTATGCTTCTCCTATCCAACCCCTCCTCACTGTGCCCTCCAGCCCTTTCCGATGAAATGTGGATGCTAATGGGAATTTGCCAGGACACACCCATCACTAACAGCATACTCAATGGGAAGCGGAAAGCCTTGCCTCTAGGATCAGGAGCAAGACAAAGATGGCTACTTTGACCGTTTTTTATTCAACAGAGTACTGGAGGTCACAGCCAGAGCAATCAGGCAACAGAAAGAAATAAAAGGTATCCAAATCGGAAAGGAGGAAGTAAAATTATCCCTGTTTGCAGATAATAAGATCTTATATACGGAAAACCCTAAAGACTCCACCAAAAGAGAGAACTAATAAACGGATTCAGTAAAGTTGTGGGATACAAAAATCAATGTACAAAAAAACAGCGTTTATATACCACTGGAAAAGAGACCAAGAAAACAATTCCATTTACAATAGCTACCAAAAAAAAAATACCTAGGAATAAACTAAACCAAGGTGGTAAAAGATCTCTACACTGAAGACTATAAAACCTGATGAAAGAAGTTGAAGGGGACACAAAAAAATGGAACGATATCCTGTGTCCATTCACAAATTGGAAGAATATTATTAAAATACCCAAAGCCATCTACAGATTTAATGCAATCTCTATCAAAACACCAATGGCATTCTTCACAGAAATAGAAAAAACAATCCTGGCCAGGCGCGGTGGCTCACACCTGTAATCCCAGCACTTTGGGAGGCCGAGGCAGGCGGATCATGGGGTCAGGAGATTGAGACCATTGTGGCTAACACGGTGAAACCCCGTCTCTACTAAAAATACAAAAAAATTAGCCAGGCATGGTGACGGGCACCTGTAGTCCCAGCTACTTGGGAGGCTGAGGCAGGAGAAAGGTGTGAACCTGGGAGGCAGAGCTTGCAGTGAACTGAGATCACGCCACTGCAGTCCAGCCTGAGCGACACAGCAAGACTCTGTCTCACAAAAAAAAAAGAGAAAGAAACAAAAATCCCGAAATTCATATGGAACCACAAAAGACCCCAAATGGCTAAAGCAGTTGTGGGCAAAAAGAACAAAGCTGGAGGTATCATATTACCTGACTTCAAACTATACTACACAAAGCTATAATAGTAACCACAACAGAATGGTTCTGCTTTCATGGTATGGCATAAAAACAGACAAAATAGAACAGAACAGAGAGCCCAGAAATAAATTCATGCACCTACAGCCAACTGATTTGCAACAAAGGTGCCAAGAACACACACAGGGTAGACAGTCTCTTCAATAAATGGTGCTGGGAAAATCAGATATCCTTATGCAGGAGACCAGACCCCTACCTTTCCCCACACACAAAAATTAACTCAAAATGGATTCAAGACTGAAGTGTAAAATCCGAAACTATGAAACTGCTAGAAGAAAGCAAAGGAGAAATGCCTCACAACCCTGGGCTGAGCAAGGGTTTTTTAAAGTAAGACCTTAAAAGCACTGGTAAGAAAAGCAAAAATGGACAAATGAAATTACATCAAACTAAAAACTTCTGCATAGCAAAGGAAGCAATTAAGAGTGAAGAAACAACCTACAGAATGGGAGAAAATATTTGCAAACTATCCATCTGACAAAGAGTTAATATCCAGAATATATCAGGAACTTAACAGCAGGAAAAAAAAAAAAAACCTGATTCAAAAGGGAAAAAGACCTCAATAGACATTTCTCATTTCTCAGAAGATGATGTACCACGGCCAACAGGTATCTGAAAAAATGTTCAACACCTCTAATCACCAGGGAAATGCCAATCAAAACCACACTGAGACACCACCTCGCTCCAGGTAGAACAGCTCTTATTAAAAAGGCAAAAGAAAATCAGTGTTGGTGAGGGTGCGGATGTGGAGAAAGGGAGCATTTACACACTGCTAATAGGACTGTAAATTGGTATAGCCATTATGGAAACCAGAATGCAGGTTCCTTTAAAAAATTCAAAATAGGAAAGACGGCACTTCCTTTTGCAAGTGGTGGCAAGTGCTGAGAGAATGCCATGAAGGCCTTGGGCACACTGCAAGAGTATCTGCCGCCTGCCCACCCCCAAATGCTGCCCTTCTACTGCCAGCAAATCTCTGCACCTAAGCAAGTTGTTGCCAAGTCCCGCTTCTGGTACTTTGTATCTCAACTAAAGAAGATCAAGTCTTGGCCGGGCGTGGTGGCTCACGCCTGTAGTCCCAGGACTTTGGGAGGCCAAGGTGGGTGGATCATGAGGTAGGGAGTTCGAGACCAGCCTGACCAACATAGTGAAACCCCGTCTCTACTAAAAATGCAAAAAATTAGCCAGGCATGGTGGCGAGCACCTGTAATCCCAGCTACTAGGGAGGCTAAGGCAGGAGAATTGCTTGAACCCAGGAGGCAGAGGTTGCAGTGAGCCGCAGCCCGGGCAACAGTGCAAGACTCCGTCTCAAAACAAAAAAAGAAGATGAAGTCTTCAGGGGCAAGTGTCTACTGGGCAGGTGTTCCAAAAATCCCCCTGCAAGTGAAGAACTTTGGCATTTGGCTACACTATGACGCTTACTGCAGCATCCACAATATGAATGCAGAATAGTGGGACCTGACCACCCAGTGCTACCAAGATGGGCACCTGGCACCATGACCAGGGCCTACACCATCCGGATCATGAAAGTGGAGGAGATTGCAGCCAGCAAGTGCCCCCGGCCGACAGTCAAGCAGTTCCACAATTCCGAGATCAGGTTCTTGCTGCCCTACCAGGTCCTGTGTCTTCAGCACAAGCCACATTCAACACCAAGAGTCCCAACACCTTCTTCTAGGTACAGGGAACTCTCACCGAGTGTCATCAAAATAAACTCAAGAATGGCCAGGTGGCCGGGCGCGGTGGCTCAAGCCTGTAATCCCAGCACTTTGGGAGGCCGAGACGGGTGGATCACGAGGTCAGGAGATCGAGACCATCCTGGTTAACACGGTGAAACCCCGTCTCTACTAAAAAATACAAAAAACTAGCCAGGCGAGGTGGCGGGCACCTGTAGTCCCAGCTACTCGGGAGGCTGAGGCAGGAGAATGGCGTGTACCCGGGAGGCGGAGCTTGCAGTGAGCTGAGATCCGGCCACTGCACTCCAGCCTGGGCGACAGAGCGAGACTCCGTCTCAAAAAAAAAAAAAAAAGAATGGCCAGGTGAACAAAACAAAAATAGAACTACCACATGATCCAGCAATCCATTATCTCCCACGTTTAATGCAGCACTGTTCACAATGGCCAAGATATGGAATCAGTCTAAGTGTCCAACAATAGATGAATGGATAAAGAGAGTGTGTGTGTGTGTGTGTGTGTGTGTGTGTGTGTGTGTGTGTGTAATGGAATACTATACAGCCATGAAAAAGAATGAAATCTTTTCATTCATGACAACACAGGTGGACCTGGGGGACATCGGGTTAAGTGAAATAAGCCGGGCAGAGAAAGATAAATACTACACGATTTCACTCATGTGAATCTTTAAAAAAAAAAAAGTTGATATTATAGAAGCAGAGAGTAGAACAGTGGTTACTAGAGACTGGGAAAGGAAGAAAAGGGAGACAAAGAGGTTTGTCAATGGGTTCAAAGTTACGATGGGACAGGAGGAATAAGATGTGGTGTTCTATTGCATAGTAGGGTGGTTATAGTTAACAGTAAGGTATTGCATATTACAAAATAGCTGGAAAAGAGGCTTTTGAATGTTCTGATCACAAACAAATGATAAATGCATGATGTGATGGATATCCCAATTACCCTGATTTGATCATTATACAACATATACACAGCATATATTGAAATGTCAAACTTACCCCAAAAATATGTACAATTACAAGTGTCAATTTTTAAAACTTTGCTTTTTTTGGCCAGGTATGGTGGCTCACACCTGTAATCCCAGCACTTTGGGAGGCCGAGGAGATCGAGAACGTCCTGGCTAACACGGTGAAACCCCATCTCTACTAAAAATACAAAAAAATTAGCCGGGCATGGTGGCAGGTACCTGTAGTCCCAGCTACTTGGGAGGCTGAGGCAGGAAAATGGCGTGAACCCAGGAAGCTGAGCTTGCAGTGAGCTGAGATCACGCCACTGCACTCCAGCTTGGGTAACACAGGGAGACTCCATCTCAAAAAAACAAAAAACAAAACAAAACAAAAAAACTTTTTTTTTTAAGAATTAGAAATTCCCAGGATGTAGCAAGCTGCTCTTTCAGCTCGGTCCACTCTGTCATCCCATGTCACTCCTATTCCCTGTCCCCTCCCTTCTTTATATCTATTCTACTCCTAAATTCCTCCTCCCTTATCCTTTATTGCTATGTATGGAACTCTAGGAAAAAAAGAAGAAGTGAAGGGAAAGAATTAGATGTGGAGGGCAATAGTAGGGAAGGGGAAAAGAGTAGGTATTAGGCCCAGATTGCGGAGAGGAGATGCAAATCCTCTTGTTTCTGAAACGATCTGATGAGTCAGCAAAGACGACTCACCACAGCTCCAGGACTTTGGGGGGTAGCTTTTCAGGGACCTGGTAATACTGAAGGACCCAGGAAAGGACTTCTTGCCACCGATCCATTTCTGCCAGGGCCTGGATCCCCACAACACACAGGGAGCACTTCACCTCCAAGGAGCTGTCAGCAGAAAAACCAATTTCAGTTAGAAGTGGTTCCCCTCCATTTCCATGCCCACCTCTACCTTGGGACTGTTCCTCTCCAGCTCCCAACTCAGCAGCCATCATCTCTCTCATCCCTGTTAGTACTTAGATGGGCTTCACAATTGGTCTCATGGGCTGCCCTTTCCCCCAGGAACTAAAAGTTCCTGTAAACCTCTTAAGAGGCAAGTCAGCTATTGCTCAACGTTCTTCTTTGTATCCAAGTGAAATCAGATTTAAATGAAAAGGAAGGGTAATCCTGAGGGGGAAATAACACGCATCACCGGTGTGTGGGACAAAAAAGAGCTGGAACTAAGTTTGCTCAGTGAACAAATGGGCTTGCAGCAAGGTTTCTGGCTGAATGGAGGTATAGCAACTCCACAGCTGGCTAAAAGGCACCACCTAGTAAGGTTCCTCCAGACACCGAGAAGCAAAGCCTTCTGCATTCACTGAAATGAGCTTCCACCCAGTACCCTAAAACACAGCCAGGGCTCTCCAGATCATCCTTCTCTGCGGTCAGCTTTCGCTATTCTACCTAACACCTCCCTGGAGTGGCCTAACCCAACTTTACAATGCAAAGAAATGACGCTCTCACCTGCCAGACAAGGCTGGTGGCACTAGAAAGAGCAATGCAAGCCCAAAGTTTTTTTTCTCCGGATTCTTTTCTTTTTCTTCTTTGTGCTAGAGAAGAGGGCTCATTATGTTACCCAGGCTGGTCTCGAACTCCTGGGTTCAAGCAATCCTCCTGCCTCGGCCTCCCAAAGTGCTGGGATTACAGGCGTAAGCCCCCGCGCGCCCGGCCCTGAATTAATTATTTAATCCATTCTTCCAATTGGACCAGAACACTGCTCCTGCCATGACCCCCATTCCCCATCATCCGCAAGGTCAGGAATAAACAACCTTGGGCGGGGCGGGGCGGAGGTACCTGGGAGAGGACTTTTACCACCTGCTTACTGACAGAACTTAGCACTTAATACACATTCAGCCTTCGCATCATGCCATTCTACCCTGGAACAAGGAGCAAATAATTGGCCGTGGGTTCGCCACTAAGCTCTTGTTACACGACTTCCCTCCTCTGTAGAATTGGCACACGATGAGCAACCACCCTGTCGGAGACAAACCACTGATGAAAGCGAGGTGTAAAGCTCCTTGTGGGCAATCTGGGAATGACAGAACTCCTGAGACCTTGGGCCCCACCGTAAGAGCACCCGGAAATCGGTTCATTTCCGAGCCCAGCACGTACGTGCCCGCGGGTTCCTCTGGCAGGGCGTGGTTGGCCAGACTCTGCCAGGCCCGCTCGCAGGTCTCCAGCGCCGCCCGGAAGTCCAGGTGCACCACCAGGAGGTCGGCCGCCTCCTCCAGAAGGTCCACGGCCGGCGACCGGGCCGGGGCCGCGCGCACCGGCTCGCTGCTGCGCAGAGGTCCCCCAAGCCCCCTGAAGGGGGCTGCAGAGGTCGAGCAGTCGCTCTTCATAACGAGTCCGGGCCCAAGGCCCAGGTCCTCAGACGTCGGAGTGACCGCCTCCCCAGAGGCTCCGGGATATCCCGAGTTGGCCTGGGCGAAAAGGGGGAGTCCTCATCTCTTTGCCCACACCCCTTCCCGAGGTCGATTCCCCGAGAAGGAAAAGGAAGGGGCCTGAGGCAAAGGCAGGGCTCGCCTGGAGGCTGAGGAAGCAGTTTACATGTCGAATTTGCAGGATTCTTGCATCCTTGGAATACCTGGCCCTAGCGTCTCCGGCCCCGCGACACGTGCAGGAACTGCCTCAGCTCCGGGCGCCTGGTTACGGTCAAACACTCTCACCTCGCCTCCCAGCAGCGGGCGCGGACATCTTTGCGCTCGCCCCGCCCCGCAGCCGCACGGCGTCCCAGCGGCGCGGGGTACTCTAGGAGTTGTAGTTCCGCAGCTCCCGGCCCATTGGCTTCTATAACGGGAACTGGCGGGAGATTGTGGACTACAACCCCCAGCACGCCGCGCCCCGGAAGCCGCCCCTGTTCCGTGAGAAAACAAAGTGCGCTACAGCTTCGGAGTGGGGAAGTCAAAACGACACAAAACTGAAGCTGCCTTGTGAAATGGAGGGATCTTCACTAACCAGTTCCAGCGGAGGCTAACGGAAGAAATGCCAGCAATGGATTTGCAAATACATGCACGCTTCCAATTCAGAGCTTCTGCGACGGCGGCGATCAGGGAATCTGTAATGTAATGTCAAGGCTGAGGCAGAGCTGATCACACATTTTGGCAACCTTAGTCTTGAATTAATTCACACTTTCTCCGCGTTGCCTCCATAGTTTGCTTTGGGAGAATAAATATTGCCTGGTGAGGATGAGGGACTTAGGGTGGAAACCTTCACAAGGATCACTGAGAATATGTTGGTCCCAAGGGCAGTGTTCCAAAGTGAATAGTGACCCCACCGACGCAGGGTTGGGGGCGCTGAGCATAAGGGCCTCATTTTCTCACTGCTTTGTACCCCACCCTGGATTTGTTGTTAGAAAACATTAAATGCAGATACCAATTCTACCTCCCCACTGTTGTCACTTCCAATCTGTCCTTATTTTATATTTCTCGTTATCGTTTATCACCATCTACATACCAGTGTCTATATTTTACTTACTTTTTTTGTCTGTTTCCTTCCACTATGATACAAACTCACAAAGGCAGACGTTTTTGTCTCTTTTGTCACTGTGGGAACCTCAGCGCCTTGAACAGTGCGTGCCATCTATAGGTAGTCAAAAAGTATTTGTGGAATAAGTGAAGTTGTGGCTTCACTTTTATCTGGTTACAGAGTCCATACTTATCTTTCCTCGGAATCTGGTGGACTTGGTTCTGCCTCAGCTTCCCCTGCAGACTTTTCCGCAAGAGAACAGAAAGCCCAGAAGATGGATGTGTGTATGTCTGGTGACAAGGGTAGGGGATGTATGATGTGAGCAGGTGCCTGTCTAATTTCTAGGAGAGCAAAAATTCTAGGGAAGCTTTGGAGAGAGTTCAAAGGGTAGAGAACTGGGGAGAAACTAAAGCCAAGAGGACCTAGTACAAAAGTGGGAAGCAAGGCAAAGCCCGAGTGAAACAGAATATAATAATGTGTGATTAGTGGATCTGTTTAAAATTATTATTATAGTTACAATTTACCACATACTCTGTTCCCAGTACTTTATTATAAAGTGCATTATGTATGGTATAGTTTTGTTTTTCACAATGTCCTTATCTTACATTGTGTAACTCACTCATGGAATGACTGTGCATGCCCTGAATAGAAAACATACTTAGTTCTGTCCCTGCAGAGCAGAGTAGGGCTCAATACACGCCTTTGAGCCAAAAGAGCCTCGGTTTGACTGAGATTTTGTCACTTACTAGTTGTGTGACCTCGGCAATTTATTTAAATGAGCTCCGATTTCCTCACCTGTACAATTGGGATAACAGTTTGTCCTTAGCTCCCGATGGCTGAGGGAAGAATTAAGTGAAATTGCACACAAAGCGCCATGCGCGTTAAGCACTGAAAACTGTGAGCCAGGCCTGGGAAGACGGAACATGCTCAGAATCGGCCAGCCCTAAGTGGCTGCTGCCTGGGAAAGTCCCTTTCCTTAATTCCTAACAAATTTCTTGCTATTCCAAATTTGTCCAGGAGATGGACACACAGTCTTAAAAGAAGCAGCCTTGCTAAAAGTAAATTTGCCTATTTAGTAGTGAGACAGCCAGAATGAGGTCAAGATATTTAAGGCAGGAGAGAGGAGAGCTAGAAACCATGTAAAAATATGATTGTATTCCACTTCTGATTCACCCAATTTTCAACTATTCCCGGGCTTCGTATCTGTCCGTATGTAACCACTGTTTAGCACTATTATGCCCACAAACGGATTCCTCAACACACATCCATTGGGATACATCATCTCCTCTGTGTCTACAAGTACCTAGAATTTCTCAAGCAAAGACACAGAAATGCTAAACAGAAGCGAATTCATTCCCCCTGGGGGATCGTGAATGGGTATTGTCTTTACTTAGCCAACCTTCTCTCTCTAAGTTGGGGCTCATGGGACAGCCTTTGAAATCACCTCTTCTTCTCTCATTTCCTCATCCTTGAGATAAAAAACAGTGGAACTAAGGACAGCCCTTTCAGATGTTTAAGGCCAGGCCCATATTAATATTTGTATTGTTGCTCACGCCTGTAATCCCAGCACTTTGGGAGGCCAAGGCGGGCGGATCACGAGGTCAGGAGATCGAGACCATATTGGCTAACATGGTGAAACCCCATCTCTACTAAAAATACAAAAAAATTAGCCGGGCGTGGTGGCGGGCGCCTGTAGTCCCAGCTACTCAGGAAGCTGAAGCAGGAGAATGGCATGAACTCAGGAGGCGGAGCTTGCAGTGAGCGGAGATCCGGCCACTGCGCTCCAGCCTGGGCGACAGAGCAAGACTCCGTCTCAAAAAAAAAAAAAAAAAAAAAAATGTATTGTTTGAATTGCTTCGTTTTGGGAAAACTAGCAGAGCACCTGAGATGCCGGTATCCTCGTTGCGACCCCTTCCCTAGCCCTCCCTAGGCTCTGGAATTTGGGGTTGTTCCTTCCATTCGGCAGAGGGCTCAGTGTGGCTCCTTCATCTGAGGAAGCAGATTTGTTCAGCCTGCTGCCGCAGGGGATGAATTGTTGTTCTTGTAACAGAAAGCACACTGGACTGGAGATGACAGGCACAGTTAGAATCCTGGTTCCTTCAGGTGGGGCACAGTGGTTCATGCTTGTAATCCCAGCACTTTGGGAGGCCGAGGTGGGAGGATTGCTTGAGCTCAGGAGTTCAAGACCAGCCTGGGCAACATGGTGAAACCCTGTCTCTACAAAAATTACAAAAATTAGCCAGGCGTGGTGGCGCATGCCTATAGTCTCAACTGCGCAGAAGGCTGAGGTGAGAGGATGACTTGAGCCCAGGAGGTTGAGGCTGCAGTGAGCTGAGATCACACCACTGCACTCCAGCCTGGGAGACAGAGTGAGACCTTGCCTCAAAGAAAATAAATAAAAATTTTTAAAGAATAAAAATCCTGGTTCCTTCAGTGACAAAGCCAGGTGACCTCTAGAAAGTCACCAGATTTCTTTGTGCCTCAGTCGTCTCGTCTGAGGACACTAATACTAACACCTGCTGCATAGGGTGGCTGTGAAGAGCAGAAGAAACCATGTGACAGTCCACTGAACACTTGTCAATCACGGACTTGTTCAGGCTGATGTAAGGCAAGAAAGAAGAAAGAATTTCGGCCGGGCACGGTGGCTCATGCCTGTTATCCCAGCACTTTGGGAGGCTGAGGCGGGCAGATCACTTGAGGCCAGGAGTTCAAGACCAGCCTGGCCAACATGGTGAAAAACCATCTATACTAAAAATACAAAAGGGCCGGGTGTGGTGGCTCAAGCCTGTAATCCCAGCACTTTGGGAGGCTGAGACAGGAGGATCACTTGAGCCCAGGACTTTGAGACCAGCCTGGGAGCAAAGCGAGACCCCATCTGTATTGAAAAATGTTTTCTTTTTTTTTTTTTTTTTTTTTGAGGCGGAGTCGCTCTGTCCCAGCTGGTGCATGGCAATGTCACTGCAAGCTCGCTCCGGTCCGCCTCCTGCTCAGCCTCCAGGCTGGCTACAGGCGCCCCCCCGGCTTTTTTTTTTTTTTGACTTTTTTTTTGTCCTCTCCTCCTGTCCCCTCTCCCTCCCAAGTCTGGATTACTTGGAGAGGGCTGATTTTTCTAATTAGCTGGTCATGGTGGCACGTGCCTTGTAGTCCCAGCTACTTGAGAGGCTGAGGCAGGAGGATCGCTTGAGCACAGGAGTTCAAGGCAGCAGTAAGCTATGATGCGCCACTGCACTAGAGCCTTCGAGCCTGGGTGACAGAGCAAAACCCTGTCTCAAAAAATAAAAAGCATACATCTGAGGTCAACCTAGCCTGTGTTGCCTTCTCCACACTGGTTCCACATTTCAGGCCAATAAACAGCATCCACAGCTGCCCCATCGAACATCCCAACCAGCCAGAACCCCTCCGTACAGAGACATCTGTGGCAAAGCTCTGCATGCAATAGGTTCAGACCAAGTGGGGACCTTTGGCCAGAAGCGAGCCGAGGAGATAAGTATAGGTGGGGTGGAGATATGTTTTTCCAGGATGGTCAAGGCACGCCTCGCTTGCTCCAGACGTTCATCAGTGGGATGGCATTTTTATGGCTCTTTTTTAAAGCCTGGACTAGGAGTTCAGGGCAGAACTCGTTGCTGCCTCTAGTGTTCCTCTCCATGTAGACACAGCAGAACTCTGCTTCTGTGTCTAAGAAGTGACCATCATAATCGTCCTGTATAGCACTTTACAACAATAATAGTGATGGCTCAATTTATATAGTATGATATTGACTATGCAGTAGGTGTTTTTCTGAGTGCTTTATTTATTTATTTAGTTAGTTATTTGAGACAGGGTCTCTCTGTGTTGCTCAGGCTGGAGTGCACTGGTGTCATCACAGCTCACTGCAGCCTCAACCTCCCGGGCTCAAGCGATCCTCGTAACTCAGCCTCTGAGTAGCTGGGACTACAGGCACATGCCACCACGCCTGGATAATTCTTTACTTGTTTGTAGAGACGGGGTCTCACTATGTTGACCAGCTTGTTTTGAACTCCTGGGCTCAAGGAATCCTCCTGCCTCAGCCTCCCAACGTGTTGGGATTACAGGTGTGAGCCACCACACCTGGCCTGAGTGCTTTACATTTAACTCATTTGAATCCTTATAACTATATGATGGAAGCCCTAGGCTCACTCTTATTTTGTCAAGGAAGAAACTGAGTTATGGGGAGGTTAAATAACTTGCCCAAGGTCACCCAACAAGTGCATAGTGGAGCTGGGGGAGGTGCGGGGACTTAATCCAGGCCACTGGGCTCCAGTCTTTCTTCTTAAT